ACTGTTTATTTTAAAGAAGAGTTTAAAAGCGTTAAAATCCAACGCCCCTTTCATAAACAATATTTAACTAAGTTGCTGAACTGGAAATTAATATGATACTAATTTGACCTCAGCTCATGCTTTAATGAGCTTACATTTTTGTGTATTTAATTTGATAAATTGATTTGATAAATAATCTGTTGCAAATAGAAATTGAATATAAATGAGTTTGAAGTTCCAAAGGTCACTAATTAAGATTATTGTCGCTATTTGGTTTTTACTGTCTTAACCTATATTTTTACCTGCCAGTGGCAGCATTTTGTATTTCTCTTAAATGGGGGAGACTCTACAGTAGACTCTAAAGAACAGCAACAGTCAAAACCAGTCATTCCTGTCACCCCAGGGGACATGGTACTAAATCCCCCACCCCACATGCACATAGCTCTTCAGGCGACAAGGATCCCTGTGATATGCTGAGGCATTACAATCCAATTAGGGGATCCCCTCATGGTGAGAGAATTCTCATTATGCCTCTTCCAAGGATCTCACTTGAGAGTCCCTTGGGGGTGGGGGGAGGGGAGCTGTCCAAAGACCATTTTACAGAGATGGCAAGGAGGCCCACTGGCACTGGCCTGGTGGGTGGGTGTTGGGTGTGGCAGCTGCCCAGCACCCCCAGACATCACTTCTTAAGCATCTGCCTTGCTGGAGAAGGCAGGGAAGGGAAGGCACTGTGGGTGCCGTACTCCTGCCTGAATCCTTTAGCCAAACAAAGCTAAGCACCAAGCCTGAACCACCACCCTCTGCCTACTGCCTGTCCATGTGCTTCTACCCTTTTGGCCCCTGGACACCAGCCATGCCACTTTTGAGTGTGCCGGTGAGGGTCCAAGAAGGAGCCCACCAGACCTTGTTTGCAATTGCAGTGATCAACATAGAAAATCCAAGATAAACCACACTAAATTGATAAATATCCCAGTAAAATGTCTGAGAGGCCAACTTAAAAAAATCTAAGGTTTCTTTACATTAAAAATAGCCATATTTAAGACATAATAGAAGATGTAATTCAAGATATTATCAAAGCTATACAATACATAGAGGTTTTAAAAAAAAACTTTCCAATGGCCATGTATAAAAATATTAAACTTGACTAAAGGATATACAAATAACCTTATTGAAAAGAGAGACCTAATATATGTGACTAGAGCAAACTCTACACTGTGAAAATATCTTTTTCCCCAATTGACCTATACATGAATGTGATTTAATGTAGACCAAATTGAAACCCCAATGGGTACTATGGATCTAAAAATTGATTCTAAAATTCACCTAGGCCAGGGAGATAGCTCAGTAGAATAAGTGCTTGCCTGGCAAGTGAAATGCACTGAGTTAAATCCCCAGTACCACAAAAAAAAAAAAAAATAATCAAATAAATAAAATTTGCTAGAAAGAAAAAACAGACTTATTCATAAATCTTTAAATAAAGAACAGAAAACTAAATGGAGTCTTTTTAATGAATTCTAGGATAACTTGATATCTATATACAGAAAATTGAAGTTGTACTCCTACTTCACACTTTATGTAAAAATCAATCCAAAATGGATTATGAATCTGAATGCAAGAGCTAAACCTGTAAAACTCTTCAAAGAAAACAGGTCTAAATCTTCATGACCTTAGATCATGGTTTTTTACATATATCCCCAGAGCAAAAGCAACCAAAGACAAAAATAGACAGGTTGGAGCCTTTCAAAATTAAAAATGTAGTGCTTCAAAATATACAACCAATAAAATAAGATAACCCACAAAAGCAGATAAAATATTGTAAGTCACATATCTAATAAAGGACTAATAAGTGAATATATAAAGACCTCTTCCAATTTAACAATACAGAAACAACCCAGTTAAAAATAGACAAATTATTATTGAATAGACATTTCTTCAGTTCATATGAAATGTTGTTCACCATCATCATCATCATCATCAGGGAAATGAAGATCCAGCCCACACTGAGAAGATGGTTCACATCCCTAGGATGTCTGTAATTTAAGGGATAAACAATAACAAGAATTGGCAAAGATTTGGAGAAGTTAATCCCAATACGTTGCTTGTGTGACTACAAAATGATTTGTCTGAATGGGAAAAGGTAGAATAGTTTGGCAGTATTTCAGAGAGTTAAACAGTTTCTATAAGACCCAGCAATTCCACTTGTAGTCATACATATATATACCTACTCATAGTGTGTACCCAAGAGGCCCAAAACATAGTCACAGGGCTGGAGAGATAGCTCAACGGCATAAGTACTTGCCTGGCAAGCACAAGTCCTGAGTTTGATCCCTGGTACCAGAAAAAAAAATGTTCACACAAAATATTGTATTCAAATGTTCCTAAAAGTATTACAACTGATAGCAAAAAGTAGAAATAATGCAACATATATCCACCAGCTGAAAAATCATGAGCAAAATGCATTGCATCCATATGATGCAATATAGCTCAGGAACAAAAAGAAATCAAGTACTGATACTTTCTACAACATGAATCAACCTTGAAACTATAGGCTCTGGAGGGGGAGAGAGCCCAGAGGTCTAAGTGCCTGCCTGGCAAGTGCAAGGACCTGAGTTCGATCCCCAGTACTGTAGGCTGTGCTGGCCCTGAAACTGGGCATGGTAGCCCATGCCTGTAATCCTAGTGCTGGGGAGGCTGAGACAGGCGGATCACTATGAATCTGAACTGTGTAGTGAGACCCTGCATCAAATAAATAAAAATATAAAAAAAGAAAACATCAGGCTAAGTGAAAGAAGCATATAAGAAGACCATACGTTGTATGACTTCACTTATCTGAAAAGAAAGAACAGGTGGCTCTATAGAAAGAGAAAGATTAGTGGTTGCCAAGGGCTGGGAGACAGGATAATGAGAAAAAGCTGCTGATAGATTCTGAGTTTCTTTGGAGGGGTCACAAAATGTTCTGGAATTAAATAAACAGTGGTAGTCCTTGCACAGGGTATCAGAATTGAGCAGAGGAAGAAGTGGTGTGTTATAAACACTATAATCATGACCCATTGAAATAGTGCATTTTAAAATGGTGAAATTTGTGAGGTGGAAATTTAATCTTAATTTTAAAAGAGCACTTCTTTGATTAGATATCAAAGCATCATACAAAACAAGTATAAATAAAACAGTGTAACACTGGCACAGGATTAGAAGGATGGAGGATTGCCTCAGTGGACCAAAGGGTATAAAAGTGGAGCCACGAACACAGCACAGGTGGTGAGCACATGCAAAGGTACCATCCTAATTCTGTGAGGAAGGGCAAGAGGAGTGGAGGAGCATTGGCTCCTAGTTTAGAGGGGAAACCAGATTCCAGCCCCACACTTGGAGGTTAGATAAGCTCCTGACAGATTAAAGAACTAACTGCAAGACTATAACATTAGAAGAAAATAAAGAAAAATGTATCCAGGCCAGCTAAATAGCTCAGCAGATTAAAGCACCTACAAACAGGTACAGGGGCCCAGGGTTAGATCCCCAGGCTTGCCATGCTGGCCCTGCCCCTGGGGAGCGATGAGACAGCAATTGAGACTGGGGATGGTGGTGCGCACCTGTAATCCCAGCACTTGGGAGGCTGTCAACAGGAGAACCACTATGAGTCCAATCTAGTAGTGAGACTCTGAATACCCTATAGACCCTTCGCTAAAATACAAAAAATGAAAGAAAGAAAAAGAAAAAGATCAGTGGCCTTGAAGAAATCTACCTTCTGCATTACACAAAATTCAGAAAGATGAATAAACTCGAATTTGTGAAAGTCAGAAACTCTGAAAAGCATAAAAGGCCGTCAGCGATGTTAAAAGACATTTACCACATAATAAGCAGTAAAATTACTAATATCACTTACGCAGATATCGTATACCTAAAGAGCTTCTGGAATCCATAAGAAAATTCAAACGAAACAACCAATGTCCCTAAAGCCTTCCTCCTCTCTCCTTCCTTTCATTACATTTCAAATGATCCCAGAAGACTAATGTCACCTTTGTGACAGTGAAGTCCCTTTTGCCCCTTTGTCACGGAGTCAGCTGATTTCTGTCACTCCTTTTCCTTAGCAGAGTCAGTGTGGTCTTATTGGGCAGGACAACCGAATGCTCAGCCTCGCCCTAGAAAAAGCGGATCGCTGTAATCATGAGACAGGCAGAATGAGGACAGATTGTATCTGAGTGTCCACTTCGTCCCTGCTCTGCGAGGATCCTAACGCAACTGGCATGCCGAGCCCTGAGTGAGGAGTGCTGTATGTGTGCAGTCGTTTCTTGCCTGCCAGCCACTTAATTGGGGATGCAGCATAACCTCAGGGCAACAGTAAAATTAAAATTACCCTTGAGTCTGGACAGATATCCATCTTCACTAAGGAAGCATCGTGCTGTGGTCTCTTTTTGCAAGCAGTGACATTATTAAAGAATAGAAGGTCGCAGGCATGTCAGACAGGAATTCTCATCTTTGATTTAGAAGACCTTCCTGTTTTGCCTTCCTGCTGGGGCAGACTTTCAGCTCTCGATAGCTAATTCGGTGAGGTCCCCTCTTTCTGTCCTTTCCCCCTTCTTTTCATCTGCTTTTTATGTTTCCGTAAGCCACAGATTCAGGTCTTGTTTTATTACATTTCTCAGAGTGCTTAAATACCCCATGCAGCCCCTCATCTCATTACCAGAGACAGTGCACACGAGGGCGACACGGCGACGTCAACATGATTTGTTCTGCTGCTGGATTTTGTGAAGCGCTCCGCGTCAGGGCTTTCCTGCGGGATGTCAGTGAGACAGGAATGGAACTGATGCATTTTAAAACACTATTGATGATCACTGAGAAAATGAGGTGCTCTGACCATAGATCCTAGCGAGGTCACATTAGGCTTAGCATTAGCTATGAATATTTCATGCAAGAGAAAATTCTATGGCTAAAAGCAAATGGAAAAAAATTGGGAACACTTGACTTATTATAAGTAGGCAAGAGGATATTGTTGCTGAACCAGTCCTCTCTGTTATCCCTTTTAGGGTCATTGTTACTACCATGGACACGTGCAAGGATACAATGGTTCAATGGTCAGCCTCAGCACTTGTTCTGGTCTCAGGTAAGTGGCCCTGACCATGGCAGCTTTGGTCCTAAACACATTCAACCACAAACAACCTCTGTTTTCCTACTCACTTCAAAGCACTAAAGAAGAAAAAGAAATGGGACTCAAAGCACAGTTGTCCCTTGACCTGGGTAAGGGAGGGGAGGCCCTTGCTTGACTATTGGCAGTAGCATGTCTTACCCAAGATCTGAGCTTCTCTCCACTTTTCCTCTCTGAAGGCCTGCTGGGTCTGATTTTCCAAACCCAGTGTTGTGGAAATTATCTTTCATTTCTGTGCCTCAGAAGCTTAATAACTCCCCATTAAAAAAGGATAGCATATATTAATGTTGCAGCTGCTGGCTTAATAAAAGCTTAAAAGGGCCTCCTCTTATTAGGAAACAAAGGAATTAGTTTAACAACATCCAAGGTGAATTGAATATAGACATGTACTGGTAAGGGTTTGCTGCTATGCTATACTGTGCTGTGCTACAGGTTTAGTGCAAGAAACAGTTACCTTCTGTTGCTGGACAGGCCAGCCTTCGGCTTTCCTCACAGCCCTCCTCCTTCCAAATCACAGTTTTTAGCCATCAGCTGGCTCCTATATGCTCCACAGAAAACCCATTTGTCTGACAAATTTCCAGCCTCTTCAGCCTTTTAACTTGGCTTATTTATTGAGTTTGTGAGCTAATAGCTTGTATCCTCAAAGTCCGAGGTGGCTTGGGCTCGTGGACCAGGAGGGAAGACAGAGAAAGAGGTGAAAGAAAGAACAAGCCTGAGTGACAGAGCAAGACTGCGCTCTGTATGCCAGCAGTAGCTGTAATCTCTTGTGAGATCCGTGTGGGACTGTGGTGAATGGGAACACATGACACAGTCACAAAATGTGGTGACACAGCCTAACCATGCATACCTTCAATGGTGCAGTCACACATAGAGCACAACCCAGGTCACAACACAACACGCACAATATGGCATCTTCTCCGTGTCATCCTGAGATTGGCCTTTCTGGGCAGCATCGTCCTTGGTTCACAAGGTACCAGGCCATCCTTTTCCTAGCTGTCAAGCATCCCATTTGACATATATACCACCCTTTATTTCCTCATTCCCACAAGATGTGCATTTAAGTGACTTCTGGGTTTTCTCAATTGGACCCAATACTTTGCTCACTGCATGACCCTGGCAATCGATCCAGTGAATCCCTGACAGTCTATCTGCTTGGGATTCTGCAGAGGAGGTTAGAAAAAGCAAGGAAATGTGGTAAGGAGGATGTGACCAAGAATTGTCCTGCCACTGTATTCTTCAAAGATGGCCTTGGATTCCTCTACCACCAGCAGAGAGGCAGAGAATGTGAGTTCCACTTAATGACCGCGATGTGGCTATGTCTGATTTATGTTTAAGCACTTACTGTTGCAACTTAGGAATATGTACACAGAATTGTCCCTCACCCCTTTCACCCTACTGCAACCCCACTCAGGTAAAAATGGCAACAAACAACACCTCCTAACCTCTACCTCTCATTCCGAGCATGTAAAACATAGTCAGGAATTGGAGCACGTGTTCATTTGTTGCTACAGGCATAATCAGACTGTGCACCTCACTCTTCATCTTGATGTCGTTACCTAGTCCTGTCTGCCTTTCTGTGTCAGTAGATATAGACTGAAATCACTGCACAAATATAGCACATGTGTCTGTACACAGCATTGCTGTTTAAAAGCATTCTGATACCTGCTGAACTTTAACATGTCTGCTACTCTAGAAGTGCAGAAGCTGCCTTGTTTGCATGTTTCTGTCCAGTTTCTGTTTCATTTAGTGAAGATCCTGTGAGCACATCTCTGGTGCCAGCAGATGATCTTGGGGATTCAGCAATGTATGTAAGGTGTCCTTCCAAGAGTACATTCTAGGAGGTAGGGAAGAACAGAGAGTACTGGTGCAACAGGAAGAAGGACCAGGAAAGGGAGGAAGGTGTAGAACAGGAGACACTAGAGGAGGTCAGAGAACTTGGGACAGAAGTGAGACCCACCCTCAGCCATCAGCAGGAAGACTACTTCTGGCCAAGGAACAGGATGCACCAGCCAGGGCACCCAAGAGGAGGTGCCTGGTGTGGCTAGAGGGGGAGGGGGCAGACAGTGGAGGAAGATGAGGTCAGGAGGGACACAGAAAGGCAGGCCCTGAGGGGTGTGGAGGGAGAGCAGGTGTTCTGTGGCACCTGACTCTGATAGGGGCCGTGAAAGCAAGGAGTCCAGCTGCCAGGTGCAAGTAGAGTACATTGTGTATAGAATGTGAGCTCAGCGAGGAGACTTTGCTGTGATCTCAGGGAGAACAGCAGAGCCTGGACAGCATGACAGCTGTGGACATGCCAGTACCCAGCAATGTCTCTGAGGTTATTAGACATAGATGCCTCTTATAACTTTTGCTTGTGCCAGAAAACCACTTCCCCAAAGGAGTGTAGGCAAAAATATACAAGAGCACCAAGTTACTGTGATGCAGGGAAGATAAGGTATCCAAGGCCTGGCAGGGTCCCTGATAGGTGCACAGCCCCTATACACATGCTGGGTGCTCAGAGGAGAAAGGCTGGAAGTGAACATGGAGCAAACAGGACAGCTGGTCATCCTCAAGGAGTGAGGCACAGCCAGGACATTCAAACAGTGAAATATTGCCTTGGGTGGCTATAGGGAGGTAGTGACTGCAGGGGCAGGCAGGTCTCAGCTCTAGGATGGAGATGCCAAAAATGTTCTGGAAGAGGTTTGATGAGGGCAAGATCTCAGGAAGACCCATGAGTTCCAGCAGGAAGGACTGGTGCAAGGGATGGAGTTAGTTAAAAAATTAAAGTGTTTCTTAGGCGAAGACCTAGTTTTCATGGGAAACTGGAGCTTGGGCTCCTGGAGGAGATAGATGGGGATGGGACGAGGACAGAGCTGAAGCTTGAGTGTGAAGGTGAAGTTCAAGGTGGGCAGACTGAGGCCAGAACACAGCATGCCAGAGCCAGGTGGTGAGCTAGCCCTGAGGCAGCGACCGAGCGGCAGACCTCTCCGAGCCTCAGTTCTCAGTTAAAATAGCTGAAGTCTCTGGCTGGCATGATGACTTTGATTATCACGCAGTCACCTGTAGGCACAGCCCTGCCCTTGTCTCTGGTGAGGAATCAGTGGAAAACCCTCAGCCTCAAGCTGGATGTGGTAGAACATGCCTGTAATCCCAGCACTCTGGGAGGCTAAGGCCAGAGGATCCCAGGTTGAGCCCAACCCAGACAATTTAGCAACTTAGGGAGACTCTGTCTCAAAATAGTAAAAAGGGCTGGCAGGCTTGGGATGTAACTCAGTTCAAAAGCCCTGATTTTAGTCCCCTGTGTGACCAAACAACCAAGCAAACAAAAACCACTGTCCTGGAACAGCCTCTTGTCCTTCTGGACCAGTTGGGAAGGTGTAGACATGCAGCACTCCTGAGCTAATTCTAGACAAAGCTATGCTGCCCTTAGGGACTCAAGGCTGAGGCCATGATGGTGAGGACCACATATATGTGGGCATCAGAGTGACCTGCTCCTGGATTGGTGGTGTGGGGACAAACATTCAATCTGTAACAGGCATAGCTAGTGTATCACATTGCAGGGTAGGGTACAATAGGGTGGGGTGGGATACAGTAAGGTACTGTAGGGTAAGGTAGGGTACCATAGGGTAGGGTAGGGTAGGGTAGGGTAGGGTAGGGTAGGGTAGGGTAGGGTAGGGTAGGTTATGGTATTACATTTTGGTGACAAAGGGGCTGCCAGAAATTCAAAGTTCACAGTCTCAGATGTCAGGCAGGAGAACTGGGCCCTTTCTTCTAAGATCAGGAAAGATCCTGCTGTCTCTGCCTGTCCCTAAAACAGTCACAGTGGCTGGAGAGGATACTGTGCTCTGCCTCAACAAGTCCTGGGTCTGCACCTTGATCTAGCTGAGGGGAATGTGAATGTGTGCAGAGCCCAGAGTCCAGGAGCAGGAAAAGGGTGAAGGCCCCAGAGAAAAGCAGCTGGCCTTGGCCAGTGAAATAACAGATGACAGCCAAAGCCATTTGGGAGCAAACAGGTGTCCTCCAGCAATGGCAACTCACCAGCAAGAGGATGTGCACCTGTAGGGTTCTCCAAGATTGCTCTTGTTATCAGGGGATATGTACCAGAAAACCAAATTCCAGGTGGGTAAAGAAAAAGGGTATCTTCAGGATGCTCTTGACAGCTCTGTTTTTACCTTTATTAAAGCAGTTTTGAAACAGTGCTGTTAACCAGTTAGATAACAGCTGGGGCAAGTATCCACAGAGTGACCTCTGAACAGGACAAAGGTGCCTCAACACCTGCTATTCCGCTCATTTCACATCCTGCCCCCTAGTTGCCCTCCTGCTCCTCTGTCTGGCACTTGCCTAAACTCTTCAATCCCTACAAAGGCCCTAATAACTATTGGGGTCTCCAGGCCCTCTCATATGGTGGTGTCACCCTCCCCGGCCAGGCTATAGTGTCTGAATCTCAGTGTCCTCCTCCGTTCCCAGCACCTGGAAAAAGTTCACTCCCTGGTTCCTGGCATAGACTCTGAATTTGGCAGAGAGGAACATCATGAAGTTCTCACGGCTAGGACTTTAGGAATTCAGCAGAGTAAGTGCTGGTCGATTGGTGCCATCGGCCACCAAGATGGAGATGCAGCACTGCTGGGGAGAGGTGTATGGGCCTGAGGAGCACCTAGCTGTGTGTTCCCAGGGGGTCCCGCTTCCCAGATCCGTGCCTTTGTCACAACAGCAGCAGGCTGTGCATCAACAGAGAAATTCCAGAGCTGTGCAGTCAGCTTTACAATCTTGCAAGTACAGAATCAGACAGTAGGTGTCGCGGGGAGGCGCAGCTACATTTGATCAACTACATCCTGACAGAAGAATCGATTGGAGGTAGAAATGCAGAAAAAGACATCTGTCTATGGTAGCACCAGCCTGGGAGACATTAAGGAAGGAAGTAGGAATAAAATTTCTATCAAATATGGCAGACTCTGAAAGCACATTGAGAGCCACGAAGG